TGGCTACATCCACACTGCAGAAATAATCTGGTTTGACACCACTTTAACAACCATGGCTCAATGCTATGGAAATCTGGGAGTTATAGTTTGTTGTGGGACCAGATCGCTCTAGTGCCACAACAAACTACATTTCCCAGAATTCCATAGCATTGAGCCATGACAATTAAAATCAGATCATTTGTGTAGTGTGGATGCAGGCTATGATTTAGGCATCCAGACGTTGTTGTACTTTCTTTTATGGTGTAAAGACACCATCTTTTTGAGGAAAACTGAAGATGGAAAGCTTCACAGTTCTTCATTGTGTAATGAAGTGTAGTTGGGTTGTATGAATTCCACATGTTTGCTGTGCAAGTGAAATGAGTACTCCACAAAGCATCTGTTTTTATCTGCTGCCACATTTCATTGTAAACCATTGGTTTTCTATGGTTCTATTAATCTTGTTGCATTGTTTTTAATTTAATGCTTGTAATCTGCCTCTAGCAATTACAAATGACTTTTTAATTTTTGTTTGTTTATTGCATTATATGCTATCTTATTTTCATCACAGAATTCAAGGTTCTCAGACTCAAACCTCCTTAGTTTCAGCATAGTTGTTGTGTATTTGCGTTCAGACCATAGCCTTGGCCTTTATAGGATGTAGCCACACTGCAGAATTAAAGCATTTTGACACCACTTTAATTGGCATGGCTCCATCCTGTGGAATCCTGGGGTTTGCAGTTTACTGAGCTATTCTGGTGCCTCACCAAACTACAAATCCCTGGATTTCACAAATAGAATCATGGCAGCTAAAGTGATGTCAAACTACTATAATTCTGCAATGTGACTACACCCATAGTTTCCTAAATATTCTTCCCCTTTGGAAAACTCAGATGCCTCCCAGCGCTTGTAGTGCTGTTTTAGCTACACCTTTGAACATTGGAAATGATGTGAGCTATAACACCCGATCTTCATGTTTTCTCATATTATGAGTGCATGGGGAAAAATTGCTTTATGCTTTTGTGATGGGGCTATTCCCCTTTTTCCCCAATGCCTTTTCCCCTTAATTTAAATAAAAAGCCATTGTTGATTAGAATTTGTGCATGCCTGCTTGCTGAATAAAAGGAGCATAAGAAGAAGAAGATAGTTTTAATAAAAGAACATAAATATCTAATCTCATCTGAAGATTGTACTTGCTTTCATTCAGAGCCTAAGGTGTGTCTGTTATCATAGACCAGGGACCTACTGATTACTTGGCCATTGCAAGAAAATGAAATCCAGAAAAAACAATAAACCAAAAAGATATTTTGTTCTGCCTTTTTGACAATAATGTAGGAGGGTCACCATTTCAGTTGACGGCGGTCTTCGCTCTTGTGTTGCAGTCACATGTTCCAGGTCAACAGCTGGGTGAAACCTTGACACTGTTACTGATGACTGTAACTAGATTAAGATAATTATTTCCTTTTATCTCCTTGCTGTAAGTTCATGATAAATGTAATTCTGGAATGAAAGGAACACATTTTTCCTGACCTGCTTATTAATACAGGCTTACCCATTCAGCTGCTCATCTTGTCTATGCTGCTGGCATTGATCCTTGTTCTTGCCAAACAAGCTTTGTGGCCAAGAGCAGGAACTACCATATTTGACTCAGCCCCGGGGAAGGAGACCTGTTGAAGAACACATTGATAGTCAGGGTACTACTTGTAGTGAGCTTCTAGTTTGTCTTTTCCATATAAAACTGCTACACAACTCTCAAGGACATCTGCAGATTGCTCATCGCTTCAGGGTAGTGTTTTCTCACAGTTTTCTCCACACCATATATACGCCACTCAGAGAGTGGAGTCTCCTTCCTTGGAGGTCTTTAAGCAGAGGCTGGATGGCCATCTGTCAGGTATGCTTTAATTGGGAGTTCCTGCATGGCAGGGGGGTTGGACTGGATGGCCCTTGGGGTCTCCTCCAACTCTATGATTCTGTGATGTATATCGTTATCTTACATGTCTTTATTCCACCACCTTTTACACCGAAGCAAAAAAAAAAGTTTTATTCTATAAATTGAACTGTAGTTGCATGAGCCTCAAGCTGCTGTACCTCCTCCTCTAGCAGGCAACCAGCTTGCACTTCCTGAATGTACAGCCTTCATAGAATCATAGAGTTGGAAGAGCCCTTGATGGCCATCCAGTCTAACCCCCCCTGCCATGCAGGAACTCAAAATCAAAGCATCCCTGATAGATGGCCATCCAGCCTCTGTTTAAAGACCCCTGTTTAAAGACCTCTAAAGAAGGAAGCAGATCCGCTGGCAAGAAAATGAACACGTTGCAGGTATTGCACATCACTGTAATGCCTCCATCACCGTCCATACTCATCATCTTATATAGGCAGCCCTCCAGGCCTCCCCTCTTAAATT